TTCTTTACTAAAACAACATTGGCAAGCCAGTCGGGATATTGGACCTCTCGAATGAACCGAGCACTTATGAGTTTGTTAATTTCTTCGCGGATGACCTCCCGACGCTCTGGGGCGAACTGTCTTTTCCTCTGTTTTACTGGCCTAGCCCCTGGGCTAATGTTAAGCCTGTGGACTGCAATTTTAGGGTCTATCCCTGACATATCCTCAACCTTCCAGGCAAAAACGTCAATGTTGCGAGATAAGCAACCAACAAGTTCTGTCTTCAGGGTGACGTCAAGATCCCGACCAATCGTCACCTTCTTATCATGCTCGAGCTCAATTTCCATCAATTCCTCGACGGGAGCAAGTTTGACTTGTTGCCCATCCTCGGGATCCATCCTCGAGATTTGCATGACGTCGTTATTTATTTCCCGAACACTGGCAACATAGCATTGTCTGACAGCTATCTGGTCTCCACGGACAACCCCAACGCCATTACTTGTTGGAAACTTCATGGCCAGGTGGAAGGTAGACACAATGGCTTTAATTTTGTTCAGGAGTGGTCTTCCCAGAATAGCGTTATAGGCCATTGAGACACGTACCACCTGGAAAGATGTCATCTCCGTAATCTGTTTCTGGCCAGAACCCAAAGTTAGAGGGAGCTCGACGACACCCTCTGGAGTGATGACTCCTCCCCCAAACCCCTGGAGAGGAGTTTTAACCGCTTTGAGCTGCTGAGATGAGATTCCCATTTTGGCAAAAGCTTCTTGTGAAAGTATATTGGCCGCACTCCCGTTGTCAACCAAGATCCTCTTTACTTCAAAATTGGCCAAAACCGTTGAGATTACCAAGGCGTGTGGGAGTGATATGCCTTCTAAGTCTCCGGTCCCAAAAGTGATATCCTCCAGCTTTCCATGAGGCATCCCAGAGGCCAAGGCATATCGTCGGGCATACTGTTTTCTTCCATTGTTGGAGTCTCCTCCCGAGGCAATACCTCCAATGATGATATTGATGGTTCCAGCAGTGGGTTGACCATCCCTTTTTGCCTTAGGGTCTTTTTCCCTGGCACGATCATTCCTTGGGCGCTTGTCGTTACCGACGTAGGAGCTCAGTAGTCCTCTTTTAATAAGGGCTTCAATCTCCCGTTGTAGGGCCTTACAGTTCTCTGTGGTATGCCCATGATCCCGATGGAACTCACAGTACTTGTTCATGTCCCTGGATTCGGGTGGTGACCTCATTCTGACAGGCCATTTCAGTTCCTTCATATCCTTGATCTCCATCAATATATTGGTCTTTGACGTATTTAAACGCGTGAACGGCGTCGGGGGAACCTCCTGCCTCTGTTTTTTTCGATGTTGTTCTTCACGGGGGTTCGGGTCATGCTGTCTTTTATGCTCGACCCTATCATGGGATGGTCCAACCTTTCTCGGGTTCAGTTTTTCCTCCATATTTATGTACTTCTCGGCTCGGGTAAGAAGCTCGGTGACTGTCTTCGGCGGAGTTTTGGATAAAGACATCTTGAAAGCCTCGCACTTTATGGCATATGT